TCTCACTCTGTAGACCAGGCTGGCCTTGAACTCACAGAGATCCGCCTGGCTCTGCCTCCCGAGTGCTGGATTACAGGTGTGTGCCACCATATTCAGCCAGTAAATACCCTGCTGTCTTAACTGCCATGACAAGCAGCCAGGGCTTCTTCAGACGCGGGGGAGGGGATGAGTGACACATTTCTGAGACCCTGGGTCTCCGGGGACCCTGGGCTAAACTTACTTAGCTGCAGAGGCATCACCACTGCCCTTTTCAGGGGCCTTGCCGAGGTGCCCGGACCAGAAGGGAGGGGCTCTGTTTCTGGATCCTGCTAAGGTTAAACACGGCAGAAGGAGAAGGTTCTTCAGCTCACAACAGCACAGTGAGGAAGGGGCTGGCGACCAGACGCAAGCTTCCAACACCCCTCCCCACCTTCAGGGTGAATCTTGAAAACTGTCAATCTGATGGGCTCTGGAATCAATTAAGAGCCTCTCGGTGGATCTCTGAAGGAATTTTCAGAAATGACTAAGAAAGAAGATGCCCCTCAGGGTGGCTGGCACTGTCTAACGGCGTCCCCGATGTAGAGGTTGGAGGGGAGACAGCATGGCTTGCCCACCTGCCCTCACACTTACTAGTGGGTGTGTCCTGTACCTGCCATGGCCACCATCCTTCACTGGCATCAGACTCCAGCTTCTTTGATTCTCCAACATGGACCGAGGACCAGAAGTTCTCCAGGAACCTTCCAGGCCTTCAGTTGCAGATTAAAACTGTTGAGACACCCAGGTTCGTGGACTGAGAATCTACCAGGTTCTCAGCCTCACAAGTACACAGACAGCTGTTGATGGACTACCCAAGCCCTATCATGTAGGCCATGCCGGTGAATCAATCTCCTTTTATCTCACACACACACACACACACACACACACACACACACACACACACACACACATACACACACTATTAGTTCTGTTCCTTTAAACAGCCTATCATCCAGAAGTGACCATTTTACCAAATAGGCCCCACTTCCTGCAATTTCTAGACCCTCCCAAAATGGTGCTATAAACTAGGAACTACTCATTCAACACATGAATGGAGGCTGAGGGTATGGACCATTTCATATCTAAGCCATAACGGAGTCATTTAATAGATGGTATGAGTTTATTTTGATAAAAGCTCTCACATTCTGACCAACCCAAGGGGCTATTCTAACTCAGCATCGAAGCCTCTTCTTGTATGAGCAGTGGCTAAGGGTCCTCTGACTGCAAAGATCTAGACAAGTCTCAGAAGAGCTGTCCAATCCAAAGAGTTTTTCTCAATGACCCACAGTTCTGATGTCATTTCTGTTGCTGTGATAAAACACCATGACCAAAAGCAACTTTAAGAGGGTTTATTTTAGCTTAAAATTCCAGATGAGAGTCCATCATTTCAGGAAAGGCAAGGCCAGGATTCACGCAGCTGTCACATCACATCTATAGTCAAGAGCAGAAAGACAAAATACACCATGCTGCCTGCTCACTGGCTTTCTTCACATGGACACAGTCCAGGGCCCAGCTGAAAAACAAATGTTCCTACCCACAGAGGGCTGCTTGTTCAACATCATTTAGCAATCAAGGCAATCACCCACAGGCCAGCCCGATTGAAATAGTCTCTCAACTGAGGCTTTCTGATCATGTGATTCTAGGTTGTGGCAAGTTGACATTTCAAACCAACCATCACAGAGGCTGGAGAGATGCTCAGCAGTTAAGAGTAGTTGTTGCTCTGGCAGAGGACCCGGGTTCAATTCCAGCACCCACATGGCAGCTCACAACCATCTGTGATGCCTGTTCCAGGGGATCCAACAACCTCCTCTGGCTTCTATGGGCACCAGGCACTGGTTGTACAGATATATATGCAGACAAAATGCCCATACACGGTGAAAAGAAAGTCACACCCACCAACAGGTGTGCCCCAACCAGATGACTGTGGGCGTGTTGCTAGCCCAGCCCTTCCATACCCACTCTTTCTTCTTTTCTTTCCTGTGGCTGAGCATCTAACAGGTACGAATAACATGCTCGGAAGGCAATCTGGAAAAGTGGGGGTGTGGGCAAGAGAAAAAGCTCAGAGAAAGTTACTTCTGTAGAAAACTGGAGCTCAGTACACCAGGACACCCTGGGAACCTCAGTTGCCTGTTTGAAGGACAAGGAATCTAGACACTACTGCATAACTCACAGTAGCTATTGGGTTATCTGTGAGAAATCCTCCACTCTCAGACCTAGCCTGCCCTTCACCCAAGTAGAGCAGATTCCACTCTGGTAAGTAGTTGATGGTTCTCTTGCAAGGCCAGCTTGCCTAAGAATGTCACATGCTGAAGGGATGTGGATGGGGCAACCACACCATTTGCTACAGATAAGCAGTTTTTCATAATACTTGATAGGCTTTCATACCCCGATATTGGGATTCTCCACTGACACAGTAAGCCAGATCAAGCTGAATTTAAAGGACCAGGTTTAATGAGCAAAGCACTCTCAGGTGACCTTCCAGCCCCCAGAGGTGAGTCAGGGAAAGGGAACAAGAGAAATAAATCATATGGCAAATCTAGAGCATGCGGGGGGGGGGGGGGGGGGGGGGGGGGGGGGCCGGCGGCGGTGTGCTTAAATACCCTGTAGACATGGTCTTGAGCTTGGGGGGAGGAGCCTGGACTTTTTATGAGAGGGGTAGGGTTTGGAAAGGTAGGACTGGGGCCAAGGTGGAGTTTCCAGTCAAAAATCCTGACCTTCTTGAATATGTGGCCACTGGTTCAAGTCCGGCTATTTCCTGTTGGCATGGGATGATTGGGGAGGGGGAGTCAGTGGGCTCATGCTGAGTGGGAGGTATCAGTGAGGGAGCATTCAGTTAACTGCCATGACCTCAAGAATCTGTTTCTTGAGGAAGAGGAGAAGGCAAATTGCTAAGAGGAAAAATAGGTTACTGGTCCTATGAACGGGGCTAGCCATGGGAAGAGTGAAGACTACCAGAAAGAATGGAACAGAGATGTGCCTTGGTTGTACAAAAGAGACAAGGGTGAATGAGCCAGACACAAGAGCAGATATGTCCTTCATTGGGACATTTTGAAAAACTAGAGGGCGGAGGGTCCCAGTTGCTGGGCAGACCACTTATAGGCGCTTGCTTGAGCCTGAAGAGGTGGTACCAGCACTGATGTCCCAGGAACTTTGGGGGATATGGAGTTTCCAGGAGATGTTGAGGGCTTCAGACATGAGCTTGATGACCCTGCAAGTGAAGGCTGGGGCATTGTCTGTTTAGATGGTCTGTGGCATGCCAAATCGAGGGATGATGTGATCCAGGAGTGCTGTTTCCCTCGAGGTGGGGAGTGCCTCCATCCATCCTGCAAAGGTATCAACAAGAGTTAGGTGATGGCAGAGCTTTCTATGAGTGGGCATGTGGGTGAAGTCAACCCACCGGTCCTTGCCCAGTTGGTGTCCTGGGAGCTGGTGCAAGGGCTGGTGTGTCTGGAGAGTACCCTGTGGGTTGGCTTTGGCACACATCTGGCAGGAGTGGACCTATAAAATATAGGCTCAAAGATGGGTGGGGCTGAAGAGGGGCTCTTGAGACTGATGTTAGCTTCCACCAGGCTAGATTTCTTGATACAGTAACAGAACTCTTTTCCTGGGAACCTGCAGGTGCCTGTAAAACAGCTGGAGCAGATTTACACCCTGGTGTCATAGCAAAGGCCATGGCTCTGCGTTAAAAGGGATGAACATTTTTCCTAGGGCCTGGTTTTTAGCCCAATGAAACAACACCTTTAAGTCTGTACTTAAAAGACAACAGAGGAAATTTACTGAACAAGAGAGGTTGAGCAAGCAAAGGAGGAAGAGGAACGGAAGCTGAGAAGCAAGGGAGGAGGAACGGAGTTGAAGACACAGGCAGGCTTCCATACCACCTTCAATGCTAACCTGCTCCAGAGGGGGAGGAGTCGGAAGAATGAGCAGCCATGGATGGTTGCACTGTTATTGGCACCATGCTTTCCAGCAACACTTCAGCTGAGTTTTGCTGCATGTGGCTGGAGACAATACGGTCATGCTGGAAAAGCCTCTCTGCAGTCCTGTTAGTGTCGTAAAGAACCTAAAAGCTGGGGCCAGTAAAATCCACAGAAATTTAAGAACTTCTGAAAACTGTAGTCAGTGCTCTATCCGTTTATCAAAACTCCATGTATCGATGCTAAAACTCTGAAACCTGTTTATCCTTTACTATGAAGCCTGTGAACAAGGCAAACCTGTCTGTATTTTAACAAGAAACTTAACTAATGAACTAATGAGCTACCA